TGCTTGCACAGTGGATTTATTTTTAGGTATGAGAACACTGTGGACAGAGACACACAGCAATACTACTGTACTCCCCTCATTAACCCAAAGGTGTTTCTGTATTAACTGGGCYATTCCTATTAGTAAATCTAAATGCTACAATATCCCCTATTTTAAAAAAGAATTCTGATCCTCATGTATCCTTCCAGATATAGCTTCATTTATTCCTTTTTATAGCAAAGTTCTTCTAAAGAGCTGCCTATAATTACTGCTATCAGCCTCTCAACTCTTGAATTCACTCTAATCAGGCTTTCATCTCCACCATGCCACTGAAATAGCACTTGTCAAGGTCACCAGTATTTATTTACATTGCCAAATCCCAAGGTTAGCTGTTGGTCCACATCACCCCCAACCTCCCAACAGCTCTAGATGTTGGTACTCTCCAGGGCTCACGCCTAAGTCATTTCCTTTTCTGTCTACACTTTCCTCCTGTGTGCTCTCATTCAGTTCCATGGCTTCAAATCCTAGCCATATGCTGATGACCCTCAAAGTACATCTTCAGCTGCAATCTCTCCCCTGAGCTCCACCCAAGCACACGTTAGCTTTCTCTTCTACATCTCTACCTGGATATCTAACAACATCTTGAACTTAGGTTCAATGTAGAATTCTTCACCTCATTCATCACCTTACCTACTCCTCTTTCATATTTTTCACCTAAGAGAATGGCACCACAATTTTTCCTTTTGCTCTGGCCAAAAAATTCCAAGGACATGTTTTCTTTCTCCCATGCACATCAATTCATCTGCAAGTTCCACCATCCTTATGGTTGAAATCAACCTTCTCACTACAGTCCTTGCTAATCACATGGCCTGCTGAGAGCCATAGCCAAGTAGGAATGACGCATGGCAATTTCTTTGTCAGCCTACCCAATGTTGCTTAGAGGGAAGACTCTCCATTGTGGAAATGGGCTTGCCTTGGACCCAGGTCATTTGCAGTGATATTGCATGAATGTTTGAGAAAGGTGACCCTGCTCAAGGACCAGGGTGGATCCGGGTTTAAGGAGGATCCTGCTGGATTAGGGCGGTTCCAGGTTTAAGGTGGATCCTGCTGGGAATAGCGCGTATCCTGCTGCCTCAAGCGCCCACTCCTTGAGTTCCCCTTGAGTTCTCGCGGGATTCAGAGGGTATTTGGGATGCAGAGCCTGGTGGAGGTGTGGATTTTCCCCAGAACGTGCATGTAGAGTGCCGGTGAGAGTTCGGGAATAAAGAATTGCTGTTTGAATCTACAAGGCTGTGAGTGGCTCATGATTTTGTGCCCAGCCAGACTGCGGCAATGGCCAAACCACCATTTTTTCTTAACTGGATGGCTGCAGCAARCTCATATCTGTTGCTTCCTGGTTTCTCCTGTGCTGACAGTTCTCTGTATCTACTAATATCTGGGCCCTGTCTTCTCCTTTCAATTGGAGTGGATACCTCCCCATACTAACAGTCTTTCAGTTCTTGGAGTGAGCCTYGTTCCCTCTGACCACRGGRTCTTTTCTACGTACAATTCCTACACATTCTTCCTTCACTGTTTGCCTGCTACCTCTTCCTTTAGCTTTCAGCTCAAGTTTCACTTCTTCATGAATGTCCCTTCCCTTCCAGTCCAGAACAAAGTTCCTTTCATAAACACACTCAGAGACATATGCTTTTTAGCTTTACAGTGTTTATTTTACACATTGGGCACTGGGGCAGGGGAACCTGCTGCATAGATAGGTCAGTGAATGAATGGATGACCTCTGCTAAGAATCCATGATTTAACAAATTATTTATTTGCTAGATACACCTGTTGGAAACCCAAATTGGTTCATGTAAGACATGTTTGAGGCCAACCTGCATATAAGACAAACAAAGTGAGGATCTGAAATTGGATGCGAAGGGTGAGAAAGTTTTTACTGTCCTTAGCAGGCAAGTGTGTTGYAAGATTTATCTCCTTGAAAATATGCATGAAGCTGTGACTTTATTTTTGTACTTCATTTCACAATGTGGACGGGAAGGGGGTGGAGAGACACAGCTCTCAAAGTGTCCTGTATTTTTGGTATTCATGTTCCTTATGTTCCTTCTTTTTCAGATTGAGTGGTTATCCTCAACCAAAACATCTACTAAGAATTTAACAGTGGGCACAAAGTAGCTTTGCAGCATGCAAGAAAGAGGAAATGTCTTGTCCTTATGGAATTTAGACTGGACACACTTCCTGTGCTACACAATTTTAGATATTTAGGTGGAAATAAACAAAAACCATAGAAATCACCAGGTGTTTGGTCTCAGGACTTCACATAAAGCAGGAAACCTATAAGATTTGGGACAACACAGCTGTGGATGAAAATTAAAGGCATTTACTTGAAAACATGGGGAAATGGGGCCAACACCTGAGGGATGAGTCATTCAGATGAGTTTAAGGAAAGGGCAACTGACTTCCCAGCTAGCTGCTATCAGTTGGCCATATTCTAAGCACACAAATGGGTTAATAAAATCGGAAGTTTGCATTTGAATGTCTCTCTCAGAAGCCCTGATCCAATGTTTGTCTAAGAAAGTTAATACTGTGGGAAAAAAGGTAGTCAGCTTCAGAGATGTAGATCTAGTTCCTGCAATTTGCTTCTACTCAGTTTAGCAAAGAGGAATTTGTTTCCTTTCCAGCATATGCTCTTTAACATATTTAAAATATTTTAGCATATTTCAGAAATATGTATTTTCTATCAATATTATGTATAGGTTAATAGTTTTCACAAAAAAGACATATAATTGAGGGCTTATTTCTGCACTATATTGCATTTACAGAGCAAGGCTAAGTCTTACATAGTTTCATAATTTGAATGGGGAATGGTTTGTACAGTTAAATGAGGACAGCAGAGYCTGGTAGAAGAGTACATGGTTTGTTCTACCTTGGCAGGTGCCTAATTCATGGAGTCCTTTCATGGCCAGCAATCTGCCCTCAGCATTCACTTAATGGCAACATAATGGAACTGTTGCACTGAGCAAAGGCTTTTTGTCTTTTTTTTTTTTTTTTTTTTAGCAAAAGCAAAAGACTTTTGGGTTTTTATATGGGGAAAGTTCTTGTTTAAATATATGACAACACAGAGCTCACCTCTTAAAAAAATCATGTTCCTATGTGGTTAACACTGTAGATGAGTAATATACTTCTTAGTCTGTTAACCACCCATGTGACCATGCACATCTTTATAAACTGAGTAGGGATTTTTAGGTGGGGCAGACAGAGACAGTATTTAATATCAAAAAGTCATATTCTTGTCATGATTTTCAGCAAGCTCAAGCAAAGCCTGTGTACCTAAGGAAGAAAATGTTAAATGTACTTTCACTTTGAATTTCTGCTACTGGAAATTCTAATTTAAACCAAAACGTTATTTGGCACATGGGGCAGAACAACCAAATGCTGATCTTATGTGATGGTGACACTGGCTACCTGAATCACTTCCCATCTGCTTCCCTGGATCACTTCATAGTCCTCTACAAGTACCAGAATGTTTGATCTTTATTAGCAAGTCCAGATGTATGAGCAAAAGCTCCAACTTCAATCTGTAGCATCCAGACATTCAGAGGAACTGATATTGATTCTACTCACAGATATCAAAACTAAAATAAATGCTAAATTCTGAGGAGAGCTGTTTCACTACTCTCAATTAGTCTTCAAAATGGAAAAGCTGCTTTACTTATGTAAAATATAATATGCCATATTATACTATTTGTTACTTCACAAAGTTTTTAACACATCATGTTAACACCTCCAAGTCTATAAATGTGTACTGCAGCAGAAGCCATATGAAGCATATCTAATCAAAACTGAATCCTGTGTTCTGGGGCTCTCAGCACCATTGTACCTGGGCATCTGGGGAAGACATATGGTGACCTTGGCCTATGGATAGATGTGTTGAGAATCCAACCTTCATCCTGAGGATGAGGGAGTTGGCATTTGGAGAAGAGGGAAAAGGAGAAGCAGGCAAGCCTGGGCTTAGAAAGTAGGAATGTTAATGAAATAGAGTAAATAATGAGTTTGGAAGTGAAGACCAGGTTAGTTTCCTAAAGAMCTTATGTTCATTCTTTCTCCTGAGACTAGGAAGACAGGAAGCTGAGATAGCATATGAACTCATGACACTGTGTTCTATGGAAACGGTGCCTAACATTTTCTCACTGTACCCTAATCTCCTGTTCTAGCTCCTATTCCTTCAAATAATGACCTCAGATCATTTTATTTTTTGATGGATATGTCTTGTATCAGGTAATTTTATCAACTCTTAGGGACTCAAATATTAACTTTACATTAATAATTTCCCAAATGTCTGTAACTAGTTCTGAACTTTCCTCAGAGCACTATTTTCAGTTCCTTAATGGCCACGTTGCTTGGATAAACAAAATGAATTCCAATCTTCATATGTCTAAAGCAAGGATCATGTCTCATTTCTGGAGATCAGCAGATAGTAGATGCTTAATGTATTTTGTTGGGGGTAAAAAGAACTAAGAAGGATGAGAAATGACTCAAATGTCCAGCAATAGGGAACTAGCTAAATAAACTATGGTATATCCATTCAATTGGATATTATTCAGTCAGAAATGAAAAAAAAAACATAAAAGAATGAGAGGCTTTTTTTTATCTCCTGCGATTTATAAGTGTAAGAGCAAGTCCAGAGCAATATAATGCTGTCTGCTTGACTATGTATAAAGGAACTGTGGCAAAACTGTAAGAAACAGATAAGAATGCTTGCTACAGRCAGGCTGTTCTAGGGGGTAGAAAAGATCCAGTAGGTAGGGAATGGGATTTCTCAATGCATACTCTATAATATTATTTGATTTTTTAATGATATTAATACATTCAAAACAAAATAATAACTCAAGACAAATTGTAATAATAATAAAAAAGAACCCTAGGATTTAGAGAATTAAAACTGGAAATAAAATAAAAAGGCCATTCTTTACTCTCCTTTGCCTCTATACATTGAGCCACAATTATCATGAACTAAAATGTCTTACTTGTTAGCAACCAAGCGCATGACAGTCCAGTCCTTTGGAAACATCTCTGGGCGTATCAATATTCGGAACACAGTAAATATCTGCAGCAGGAAATCCTTGGATAAGGAGAAAATACAACATTTTACTGATTGAGCATAACTGTCAATACACACAAAGAGACAGACAGTACTGCTGTTATCATTTCTAAAGCAATGACAGAGAAGAAGGGCACCTTTCTTTCATAATATACTCAGGAGCAGGAATATCACTTTCCCACTTTCAGCACGCAAAGCCATGGGCCTGCCGCTCTGCCCAAACACTGTCTTCTGTTTTTCTGCTTGGGCACAGTAGAAATGACTTTTCATTTGTCTTTGCAAGCTCTAAAACTCTAGGTTCTAGAAACAACTTGGAAGATTAGCAAGCAAATATATTCTGTTTCTTCTATTATAGCATCTTAAACATCAGAACTTTTCAACCCAAGGAACAGTAAGCTGTACCGGTTCAGTTAAGTAAGCATTGAAATTTAAAGTTATGTTCATCAAAAAGCCTCTTATACAAAAACCTATTTTTTTTAGAGAGTGTTCTCAAGATGCAGTTTTAAGAGAATGTGTGCAGGTTATAGAATCTGAGTGAATTTTCCTGAGTGTGCTATGCAGATTAAATTCAAATAAAACATGTGCTAAGTTGAGCCCAGTGACTGGCTGAATTTCGACATTGTCCTCATAGAGACCCCAAGCCATAGAGTAGTGGCATTACTGGCATCTTACTCTGAAACTGATCACCTGACACTGACCCTCCCCATTTCTTCTTTCTCTTTTTATTTATTTAAAATTTTTCTGTTTTAAATTGACAGACAATATTGTATATTTTCATCATGTACATGATGCAGATGATTAARTCTAGCTAATTAAAAATGGATGACCTCAGGTAGTATCATTTTTGTGGTGAGAACATATAACACTCTTGACAAGAAGCTGTCCTTAGACGTGGACACGTCACTCCTTTAAACACTGCAAGAGGGGGCCCCAAATGCTTCAGCACATGATACTTCCAAGGGGAACAGGGAAGTAATGTGTGCGGTGTAGGGAGTGAGCTGGCTCAGCTAGCCTTGATTTAGATTTGTTAACCAGAAAACATAAAGATTTTTTTCATAACCTTAAGTGATTTTAGGAAAATATATTCCTCTAACAATCTAATTGAAGGCAACAGCATGGTGTTGCTTACCAAACAAAAAGTGACTCAAAACAGAAGATTTTTATTTATCAAACCAACAACACATTATGTTAAATATGTAATCTGCTTAGATATAAGATTACAATTGTCACTCATATCAACAGAAGATAGAAAGAATCTAAAAACTGAGAACCATGTGTTAGCTTTTCTTTTTTTTCCTTCACATTCTAACAGCTTCGATCAAGCCCATAAATATTGTGACAAGAATTTATTTYAGCTTCTTTGGCATCTACACACATATGTTGATATGTAGTATGCGCCATGTGGAAGCATTCCCACTAGGTCATCTGCTTTTAAATGGCCACAGGGATCCTGCCCATGTCTCAAAAATGAATGGAAGCAGTGCTTTCAAAACATGTTTCACTGCAGATCAGATAATTTTGTGGGCTGGGGGTAAATGTTAGTGGGTGAGTGAGTGCTTAGCATACACAAGACCTAGGTTCCATACTTAGTGTCCCCCCCAGATTTTTTGGAGGGGAAACACTTCACATTCTAGCCCTCCCTTGAGATAGTAGATTATTAGCATAATATAATTATGAACAATCCTTCTAAAAGCATTTCTCAAAGTTGTTCTAATGGTTTTTCAGTTGCTTCTTTTTGAGTTTCTCAGACATCAATACATATAATCACTGCAAAAARTGAGTTTGCATTTGTCTTTCAAAGGTTTCCTATTTTGTTGTTTGTTTAAACAGATATGAAAGAAGAGTGAATGCAGGGAGTCATTTGTTTTTCCTAGTCTACAATTAGGAGTTCAAATAAATTCTAAAATATGGAAGTTTCATCTCACCTCACGACTTAACAGCACTGGACTCTGGCAGCACCCTTGGTTGTGATGGTTGTATGTATGTGTGTGTGTGGTTGTGTGTGTGTGTGTGTGTGTGTGTGTGTGCATGCGCTACTGCCGTGTCAGTAGCAAAGTCGGGTATAAGGGTTGGCTAAAGGAGATAAGACACTTATCCTACAGGCTATCAACCTCAGTTGTTCTTGCGTAGGGCTGGGGACAAAGGAAAGGCTATTCCTGACATAGGAGATGGGAACAGACAACTTGTTTCCGTGCCATCCCATTTTACTATTCCCATTTATCTCTCAGAATAAAAGGCTGTGGCAGCATGTGACATCATACCCATGCCTATATATTGACATAAATCTTTATTTCTCCTAAGAAAACTTTTCAGTCTCTTGAGTAGCTTTCTAAGGTACTCACTTAAGTGTTATTTACATTTATGGAACCAAAAACAACCATTGGAAGAAGAAGGGGCGAGAAAACATTAAACTGAGAATCACAAAAATCTAGATTTGAATTCTAGCTCAACTCCTGTGGCAATTTTTTTTTTTTTTTATAACTGAGCTTTCATTCTTGGAAAATGTGAGGGCTTTAGGGTTAGTATGATCAGCTATCTATTCCTACCTATTCATACAGTACCGTCCAATTTTTCTTATTTCTCAACTGTAGGCTAATGTTTTATCTGACCTCACTGAGATGACACAAACACCGCCCACTGTGGTACTCACATACAATTCAGTCCAGAGAGGGTTTGTCAACTCCCAAGCAACAGATTTCATTTCATAATAAGTTCCAAAATTCTAAAGCACTGAGACCTGAATGAGACAGCACCTCCTTCTTCCTGTCCCCAGTACAGTGCTATTTCCTTTCTGTCCTCTTAAGTACTTTCCAGCTCCAGTCATTTCACTAAATATGTGGTTTTGCATAGACAGACACAATTATTTTGTTCATATGACTAAGCTACAGATTCTTTTTATAGATTAATAAAAAGAACACTCCCATGTCTATAATATTCCAATTTGGACAGCACACAGAAATGTGTCTCATATGTCACCATTTAAAAATTGGCAGATCTGGAGCAGCTTCTTTATTCCTGCTTATTTATTTTACATAGCACAACTTGGCAATTTAATTATATTATTTTCATTCTTCAAGTCAGGGTTCAAAAGGAAAAAAGAAAAACTTTGGAGAATTACTTTTTTGGTAACAGAAGAGATTCAAAGAAGACAGTTTATATTAAAATATTCCCAAACAACACAAAGGTCTGTGTTGAAACAAAAAAGAAAGCAGTAGTTGTTGCTATGATTTTAGGAATGATCACTGACATTTATTCATTTATAAATCCTGGGTGCTTTATTATGTGCCTGGCACCATGTTAGATGCTGGGGACACTTGGTTARAGTGTGATATAGTATTTTATTTATTCATACATCAAGTATTTATGGAGTGCCTGTGACATGCCACACCACAGCAACTAAATGCTTTCTTTATTTTGTGGCGTTCACATTTGGTGGGAGAGATGAATGTTAATCTAATAAACACACAGATGTGTGCATGCTCCATGAAAGAGGGTACATCCGAGGGCCAGATATTCCATGCAATAGGAGAATGCAAGAGAAGGGATAGTAAATGGGGTTGAAGCCGGGTGCAGTAGCATATACCTGTAATCCCAGTGGCTCAGGAACCTGAGGCAGGAGGATCATGAGTTCAAAGCCAGGACAGACCTTTAGCACCGTTCCTTCACTTATGATTTGGACCATCATTAGGTATTATTTTTAAAATTCATCATAAATTTACAATGTGTAATATCCTCGATATGGGGTTTGAATTCAATTAAAGGGTGCTAATAATCCTTATCACATTAAAATTTACATCCTTAAAGTGGAATCTTTAAGTATATTATGCAAAATAACTCCCAAAATGTCTTTAATCTTTGAGAAGGACAGAACTATTTCTCTGTAATCAATATATTCAAATAAAGACAATAAGTCAAAATAATTACATGGAAAAAGATGGCTTATCAAAGCAGACAGAAATCTATTCAGAGGGCTCATTCATTCAACAAAGATTTAAAGTTCCAGACTCTGTGCTTAAGACACAAAAACATGGCCCCTTCTCTTAAGGAACCCATAGTCACTGAAAACAAAATAAATGGCAAATAATCAGGATGCTGTTAAGTGTTAAGAGAGGGGTGGACCACCGTCTTTGGAGGTTTCATCATGAAAGTAAAATCTGAACTGGATTTTGTAGCATGAGTGGAAATCAGGGAAGAGATGGATAGGATATACATTTCATAAACGGAGTAGTAGCGAAATAGGCATTTCAAATGTAAAGAACAAAAGGGATCAGAGGAATCGGGAATTATAAACATGCTTTGTTAGGAAAATATAAGTAGTTTTAAGTGGCTGGAGTAGAAGTTCTTTGAAAGGAAATAGAGGATAATATGTTGGAAGGTAGATTGAAGATAGGGACAATGTGACAAGGAGACTGGTCTTTGTTCTCTAGGTAACAGGAAATGCTCAGTTTTAAGGCTGGATCAAAGTTTGATCAGATACATTTTTTTTTTTTAAAGCTAGTGGGCCAGCGAGCTTTAGGATGGCAAAGGAATGTTATAATAGTGCTGTACTTTTTATAATCTCATGCTTACACCAAGATTCCCATGGTTCTACATGAAAAGTCATAATCAACAAAAGAAGAGGAGTGAAACTGCTGTATATACATGAAATACCAAAAATTTGGACAAAACTTTAGYCCTCAGCATGAGGGGGGTGAATAATAAGATATTACTGACTACAGGAAGAGGAAAAAAAAATACTTAATTACTAACCCAGTCTTTGCTTTTTGTTCGTGTTAGAATTATGTAACGTACAGAAGGAAAAAAATTAAACAATTCAGAGTGYCAGCCCTCAGGTCTTCTCCCACGCACCTGCATTCTAGCTCCGTGACTCACACCACTCAYGCACAGGTACCTGAGGGCCAAGAAGAAGCAGTGGCCTATGCCAAAACCCAGAAATCACGTAAATAGTAACCCTATGGGCTTCCAGGTTCCTTAAGCATGAATGGAGTTAAAGCACTATTAGTCTTAGTAGATACTAGAGA